CTTTTGTTATACTTGTCTATTTCACCTCTGTCTTCTCTAATTTGTTGTGTTTCCTCATCTCTCGGATTTCCTTTTCACTGCATCATAGAAAAATAGCACTGGAAAGGACCTGAAGAGGTCATGTAGTTCGTCTCCTCCCACTAGGCAGGATCAGTTGTCCCTGTATCATTCTTGACAGATGTTTATCTAGCTTGTTCTTAAAAATCTTTAGTGATGGAGGTTTCCTGACATCCCTAGGCAACCTAGGCACTTTCCGTTGACACTCTAAAGTTCTTCCTGATGCCTGACCCTAGCTTCCCTTACTGCAATTTAAGTTCATTCTTTTCTTCTCCTTTCCATTAAGTCCATATTTCGCCCTTGCTGTTTGTCCAGACTCTCTGTAAAACCAAGTAGCAGCTCCATTATGATACAGGACAATATTCTGTCCAAAATTTTCTAGATTTCCACTTAGTTTCTTTCTTTTTCCTTATTTTATGCTAAATACCTGGTTACCCTATCACTTTTATGCAGATTTCTGGATGCAGAGAACAACATCCCTGATGTCATAAGACCTTTAACTCAGAACATCCCAAGCACAGGAATACACTACATGCATAATTTAAGAACAAAATTCAGTCTTACAGACCTAACTAATTCTTTACCTCTGCATTTATGAGTCAATACTACCTTCACTATTGACAGTAAAGAAATACAAATAAGGCCCTTTGCAGTTTTCAGTTTATTCTTATAAAGTATTATGATGCACTTTTCCCTTCTCGTATTCCCTTCATCCCTCTAGCTGTAGTGTGCATACACATATTCCTGCCAGATACGAATCACGGTTCCATGCAGTCATCATTCTGGCATGTCTACTATATCCACTTACAAAGAATGGCACTTTCAGCAACTGTTTCTGTAATTCCTGTGCCTCCTTCTGTCTTTGGATGGAAAATGCACAACAGTCATAAACATAATTCATATCATACATATGTGTCCAAAATTGAGAAAAGTCAGCTATTGTAAGTACAAATTGATTCTGTCATCTAGAATCTAATTCATAATCTAATCGTTGCCTCTCCTTAAGGCTATTTCTGGAGTGGAAATTATAGTGTATGAAAATAGAGAGTATTTTAATGCAATTTCATAAATAACAATCATTGTTTTTTAAGCAGGACATTTACAGCTTAACATCATCTGCTGTAAAGCAGAGGGTATGCTGGAAATTATGTAGGGAGTTAAAGATGGAATCCTTCCTCAGTCTTTGCTCAGGTCTTAAGGTGATTCTTCAGCCTCTTCAACCCCATTGCTCGCTTCTCCTTCACAAGCAGTGAGTTAGAAACCAACCTCTAATTATCTCTTATGTATTGCTGTTACCTTACCTAAGGTTACGGTGAATCCAAACTTCCCTAGCCATATTCCTTTTTGCCCAGCTAAATTATGAGAATTTCTTATATTTGTTTAAATATTTCTGGACCTTCAACAAGAAAGTTGCCAAGCTTCTGGGTATTCCAGTTACTTTAAAAATATATGCATAGTACAAAATGTGCAATGACTCAAACACTTTCTAGACTCAACCATCATATTGTGTACCTGCTGCATAGTGACTTTGTGCATGCCTTGATGCAGAGCTGAAAAATGCAGAGTGCCCTCTCATTCTAGAGCTTCCTGGAGGTATCAGTTTTACTGTGCAAGTGCTCAGTTGTTGAACTGTTAAGTGACTGTATGTTGTAACATAGCTGGAAAATGTTGGGCTTGCTTTCTTCCTGAGAAATGCTGATGGGAAATGGTGTAGAAGCATTAAAAAAATTATGGGTGGAAGGTCAAGGCTCCACAGTCCAACCTGCTATTCACAGGTGGAGTAGCTACTCCAGTTTTTTATTAATTTGGTCCTAACTACTGTCATAGAAACCCACAGATTCCACCAGTAATCTATGCCAGTGTTTCACTGCCACATTAGATAGCTTTTCCCAACATCTAATTTGAACCTTTCAGATAACTAGGCCCATTTTAAAATGAATAAAGGAATATTTAAATGAATATTTAAACAAATATAAGAATAATTATGTCCTCTTTTCATTAGTTATGCCTATATTCAAAGCAGGCATCATATCCCACTTGGTCTTCCCTCCTTTAGATTAAACATGACCAGCTCATTACAGGTGCCTTCATAGGCCTCAGTAAACTCCCAGGCTTTCAGCCATTCTAATTATTTAACTCTAGTTGGTCCAGATTTTAATGCATTTTAGCACCTAGCTGTGGCACCCTGCTCTGCAGAGGTCTTTCCAGGGCTCAGCAGAAAAGATGCCCTTCACAAGCACTGCAGACATCACTCCCACTAACATGGCTTGGTACGGGAACTGCCTTTACTTCACTTTTGCAGCACCACAGGTTTGCAGCCAGTATGTTCAAAGCACAGAAACATTTTGATTCCTAATCCTGTAATCCAACCTGACAAAATTTCCTCCCAGCATGTCATCAGCATGTAAATTCAGTAAAGGTATTCTCTGCTCTGTCATCCAAGTCATTAAGAAAATATTGAGTAGTGCAGAATGAGGACAGACTTCTGTGAAGCACCATGCATGTGCACTTTTTTCCACAGATACTTCATCCTCACTTTTGCTTTCCAAATACTTTGGCATTCATTCTTCAGCAATTTCACCTAAACTATGCTTCCTTAGACTATAAAGAATGTCACATGAGGGAGTGTCAAGATACTTGTAAAGTCAAACCACCTACTGCTTTTTCCCTGTCCACAAGGCCAATTACCCTGTCTTAGAGGGAGATCAGATTAGTTTGACACAGTTTGTTTCTAGCAATCCAAGTTTTCTGTCACTACCTTGTTTTCTTGCAAGTGCTTACAAATTGTTTGATTATTTTCTTCAGTACTTTTCTATGGTTGAAGTTTAGTTGACTGGACTATAATTTTGCAGATCTTTCTCTTTAAAGATAGCTGCTGCATTTGTTCTTCCATTCTCGCAGATAAGCACTAGCATCTCTTAGACTGTTCCACATAGTGTGAAAGCATCTAACTCATGTAAATACAGTACTTGTCTTCCCTTGCCTGTGCTTAAATCTTTAGTTTTGCCAGAGATTCCCTCAGACAACAGACCCAGACACCAAACACCTGCCTGTTTCTGAAAGCTGCAGTCTGGATGTGATGTGGATATAATGCATGGATGCATGGCCAGGCAGTCCACTTCTTCAGTGTACAGAAGAGGCCAGCCATTATAGTGGGATGTTTCCCTAAGAGAAGATATTATAAAAGTACTATCTGAGTTGGAAATTCTCTGTAGATAAAATCCAGCTGTTAGAGAATTTTTTAAAGATGCTCATTCCTTGCATGAGTTTGAAAACTGGAAGCCTTTTAATCAGCTTCTCAACAGTTATCCCCTTGATAAAGTGCCTGTTGTATTTTTTAAATGTACTTGAGAAAAAAATCCTAGATATAACAAAATGCTCTTTTTATTAATCCACAAAGAAATCAGAATACACTAAAACTGGCCAGATAAATAATTATATTTAATTATATAAATTTTAAGTATAAAATAATTATACTTATAAAATATAGTATAAAATAATTATACTTAATTATATCACTTTAATATTTATTAAAGGTTAAATCAAAGTTTCTTCCTTCATTTTCTGTTATATTATTCCATGTAGAAGGTAGAAAAGTTGAATTTTTTTTCCATTCTTAACAGACTCTAACAGGAATATTGTCATTAAAAAAGTTCATATATATTCCACAAAAAGTGTTATCTTGAATGTGAACAGATACCTTTATCTACAGTTTTATACAATTTGTTGTCTACATAGCATCAGACATTTCTATGTGTGCTGAGATGATAATACATATAATTTGAGTGTTACTAACAAATGTAGCTCCTTTACTAAAGTAATTTTTTCAGTTAGATATCAAAAGAGAAAACCTCATACTCCTTGGCATTCAAGAAATAGATTTTAATTACTGACTTCAAGCAAGGCCACATAGGCCTTTATCTTTTCCCTTGTAGAAAATGCAGATAACAGCTGCAGTGAAGTGAAGCCTTTTTAGAATATGTTTATAGTCTTCTTTGATCAATATCAAGAATCAACATAAAATAAAGGTATAATAAGCAGCAGTCACCAGAGTGTATCAGACCTGTATTACTATATTCTTATGCTCTGAAAAGACTGTACTGGACTACTAGAATCCAATTCAAAACTGTACAGTCCATTGTGTGCCTTTATTTTGTAGAGAGACTGTCCTTTGAATTTTCTGAGAGGTTTATGTGAAAATCAGTACCAGAGAATGTTCCTAGATTTCAACGCCACATGAAAGCATATTATAGGCAGAATGGATTGATGGCTCTTTCCATTCCCCTAGTAAACAAAGACTACACTCTTGTAATCTTTGTTTAAAAATTTAGAAAGTCAATTCAGGTATCATTTGCATCTACCATACTTACTAGATTTTTCATGTGTCTTAGTGGATACAATCTTGATGTGGATGGAGCTCAGAAGTTTTTGTGTGTGTTTTAGTCAAAGACAACTTATCCGTTCCCGTGATTTTTGCTTGTTTGCCAGGTATGATGTCATAAAACAAATCACTGATTCCTGTAGAAAAGGGATTTTGGCTCAGTTTATATCCTCTTCCCCATTCCCACTCTTCTTGGCCCTGGTCCTGCAGTATGAAAGGACCTCTGTGAAACAATCCTGATTTCTATGAGAATCCATGTAGGGAACAAAAGTCTGGTTTCATGAGTCAGAAAACAGGTAAGGAGATATATTTAATAAATCAGAATCCTGCTGTAAATGTCATAGGTCTCTTGTCACCCATTTCAAAAAAAGTATTTTCCTTCTAATTAGACAATATTCTAAACAGCTCAGATTGCTGCAACATTGTCACTTGAATAAAGCCCATTGTATTTAACACTCCAATGTGATTTGCTCCCCAGAAGTAGATGGGTGAGATGGTGCATTGCAAGTTTCCTATTACTGCTTCACTTTCTAAATACCTATTTTTACATTTTAACATGTAGCTCCATCAGCCTTCCCAGACGCAAGTGGGACAAGCAGCTTCACAATCCAATCTCCTGCATTTGGCTCACAGTCAAGCATCTATATCTCAAAGCCCAGTGCGTCAGGCTTCCTCTTCTTCCTCCTCATCCTCCTCCTCTTCAGCTTTGAGTGTTGGCCAGTTAGTCAGCAGTAAGTATTGCTCCCTGGCTTTCCTTAATTCTTCCTTCCGTTTGTTCTCCTCGCTGCTGAGTTTTCCAATCTGCTTTCCCTCCTTTTGTTTTTTTTTTTAATATAATAGATTGTATATTGCGAAATAGCTGACTCTCACCCATGAGAATTACTAAGTGTTTTCATGGATGGGGCTTAAGGTAAACATGCCTTGAGAAATTTAATCAATGTTGAAAATGGTCATAAAAATGATAGCAGCCATTAATTGACTCATGACGACAATTGCTATAACTGAAATGTAGTTTATATTTTTTGGAAGTTAGAAGTATTTTAATCAGTCAGTATAATTAATTACATTTCTCAGAATTTGGTTGGCAAAAAGGTAGTCCTACTTTTGGTTAAGCTGCTTGTTTTTTTGCTTGATTGATATAACAAACCATTTTAAAAACCCTAATACTGCACAAATCCAGAGTGAGAGATTTTCTTGCCAGAAAAAGCTTGCAGCACTTAAACAAGAATGAACTTTAACACGTCGAGGAGAAGGGAGAAGCACACTGCAGTGAAATAACTGAGTTCCAGTGTTAGAATTATAACAGCTGACCTGAACAGCACTTTCTTCCAGATTGCACAGTTGAGAGTCTTTGCTATTACCTTATCAGCATTGACTTGGTCTTCACATAGCAAAAACCACAGACTGACAGTATACATAAGAAGCACTAACAGTTTTTGCACATCTGCAAAAATACAATTGATTTGTATGACCTTTTTCTGTGATACTCCATGTACATATTCTAAGTAATCAAACACTATAACTTATGCCATATTGGTAGTAAAAAATACGTGACTGATACAAGCTTATGAGGAGCTTGGAGAAACTGTCATGCAAGGAAAGATGTGAAAAAATCTTGGTTAAATTATTTCAAAGACCATTTACATGGAGAAATTACTAGTAGAGCCATAGTGGTAAAATTATGCTGATGTAACTCACAGTGGGAATACTTTTGTTCTGGAATGAAAATATCTGCATATAGATATAGGTATAATTATAATGCTATTGCACTGTCACTAGTAAATTTTCTCATGTAGACATGCTTGTAGAAGGAAGACAAAGAAGAGGTTTTACATTACAAATACATAAAATATACCTCTAGTCCACGTGGGCAAATTGAATAAAATAGCTGGTGCAGAGTAAGTTATTGTTCAATAGCTAGTCTAGAATAGCTCCTCTTTTGGACATTCTTATTTAAAATAAAGGCAATATGGAAGAAGCTCGTTTAAGATTACAGGATAAATCCATCCAATGTTAGAAAATACTTGAAAAATAGTTGTTTGTTCAACTGCATGCAATTCTTCTTAGAAGATGTATTTCATTATAAAAATATATTGTTGTGATTAAAATCATGCAATCATGATTTTTTTTTTCTCATCTTTCTCTCAGTGCATTCCCAGTGGAATTGTCCTAGGGTTGTATCAGAATCACTAACACAACAGGTGGGCTGTTGTCCCACGGTTTACCTGATTCACTAATCTGCTCCCCAGTTTGCATAACGTTTGAGGTAGGAAGGTGTAGAGGAGTGAAGGATGGTCTTGTGTGAGGCAATAGAGGACTGAGGAGCTGAAGCCTTCTGTCTGCTATGTAATTCAAGTGCAAGGCAGGCAAATCACTTAAAAGAGATTTTTCACAAGTGCTCCCTCAATATACAGCTTGAGACTCCGGACTTTAATTTACAGAAGAACCCAGTACTCATAGTTGCAATTTTAAGTGCACTTTCATAGTGGAACTGTATCAAGAACCATTTACAGACAGTCTAAAAAATCATTTCCTACTTGACCTAGATTGGGTACCCAAAACTGCTTCTTCCCTTAATATCTGTCCACTTCTCTGTGAATGAGAAGGGGAAGACCCTCATCTTGTAGAAACACAAGAAAATAAACTAAGATTTTAAAGAAACCAGAAGAGCTCAAGAGGAGATGTCTTTAGTGAAGAGCTTTAATAGAGGTCTGGGGCTGCACACTGAACAAGTAAAAAGGCAATACATCAATCAGTTCATCTGTAATGAAGGACAGTTCATCTTGTGCACTGAATGAGGCACATGAAAAAGAACTGATAATCCAGGGCTCAAAGACTATGGTACACTGTGTTGTTGGCTGCTCTAACTCCAGCATTTTGTAACTTCTGAATGTTAATTTGTGCATCTCTGAGGATGTTCTTTTAGCTTCATTTTTTGAATGGATAAATTTCAAGGTTGTTTCAAAAGCAGAATAGTAATGTAAATCAGTCATATGGCAAGATAATCTTTATGTTCATAGTGGGAAATAGGAGATGTGTTGAATGGATGGAAAAGCTGATAGTTCTGTTATCACCTTGTTGGTTCAGCTCTGAAATAAGCATGCTGTGCTTAGGGATTTGGCTGACAGTAGAGTATGAGGCACAGGAATATCTATTTGGGCACAACTGGGAGATAGATTAATGAACATAGAACTTTTACTTGATCCTCTCAGGCTTGACTCCATCCACTACTTGTCTTGTTCTAGTCCTGTTAATTCTTCACACTGTTCTCCACACACAATCTACTCCCTTTGCCTCCATGCTTTTGTTCCTCTAGTTTTCGCCCTGCAGTCCTTTCGTCACAGTCCATCATTACCCAACTTCTCTTCCCATGTCATTTCCCACTCAGTCACTGTCTCCAGACCATATCTGTACCTTTTCACCAACCTTTTTATTAGGTAGTTTCTGTCCTCCTTTATATTGTTTTATCACTACTGACACCTCTTTTTCCTTTTTTCCTGTCCTCTATCACAGTGAGTGGCACTCTGCACAGTCAGGCCCTCTCTCCCTCCAGTCCAAATTCTAATCCCTGCTCTTTAATAATCTTCAAGTCTATTTTTTTCTTCTATCTTATCTTTCTCTTTAAACTCAAGGTTAATTTTTGCCCCCTCTGCATCCAAATCCTGCTGATGCTACTACCACCCTCCCTAGCAGCCATCAGAAGAAGAGTGTGAAAAGTGATCACAAAGAGCGTCAAGTCAGTGTCCATGTCTTTACTGTGGTCCTGTCAAAAAGAGCTACAGGCATAGGAAACTTTTCATACAATCAGACTGATGGTTGAAGGAGTTGCACTTGGAAGTTAACTCAAATTTTCCAAAAGAAAATGTTATTGATAGGGATCTCCTGAACAAAATTCCACGTTAAACATAAATAAAAAACTTGTGGAGCTGTTTTGATTTTATGCTTCCAGCTTCATTCAGTCTCTGCTGTTCAAGACCAACAGAATGAGTAGCATGAGGGGCAGATCAACTCACATCTGCCATTTACATAGTAACATTACATATATAGAAGCAAACCAGTCATCTCAATTATCCCTAAAAGCAATCCAGCATACTACTGAGAGCATGTAGCCACCACAAACTGGAGCTAGCACTGTATGCCTAAGCCTGCTTGAGCTGCCACATCAGGAATGGTGTTGTAGGGCACAACAGAAATACCTACTGTCTTCTAGTAATGTGGAAAGAGCCTGCAAGAAAGAGGAAAATATGGTCAGTTCAGTAAGGTAAGATCAAACCATCTGTGTAATGAAACATGAAAAATCAGAGGGGATCCTTTATAGCTTTTCCTTCTCAGTGATAAACCAGTGGTAGATACTGTTTGGACCAATAGTCTTAAATTACCTTCATGAGTTTGAAAATTGTTTCATGTGACTGAAAAGCCATTTACACAAAACCATGGCTGCACATGAGAATGTAGATAGGAAGTCATCCTTGTTTTACTTCTTTACAGAATCTTTTCGGTTTCCAGATACAGATCACTGAAGGGCAGGAGCACCTCTCTGTCAAGCCTGTGACCTTCCTAGCATCCCAGCTCCCACACTGGCTGCAGACCTTTGTATGAAAGGCCTACAATTGAAATGCAGTGTCTGAAAGTCTATTTAAAGTCTTTTAGTGGGATGAGACAGGCAATGTTTCCACAAAGAGAACATACGGTGGAAAAGTTAAAGAAATGAGCAGAGGGATGCATTTGAGAAGAGGAAATGGGAAAAAAAGGGAGGAATAAAGATGTAGAATTGAATGAAGAGAAAATAAAGAAGACAAAAGAGAATACAAATAGGATTAGACAATACAAAGAAATCATACAGAAGGGACAGGAAGAGTTGAGATGAATCTTGCAGTCCTTACTTAGACAGAACTTATTTAAAAATATTTCTTATTTGGAAATAACTCCAATTTTTTATTTGAAATAACCCAACAAAAACAATCAAACAAGTCAGTGTTTCTGAGAGAAGTCCTTATGCATGAGGGCAAGAAACAACTTGTGGCCTCCTGAATCTATCTTTGATTTCTTTATTCCTCCTGAGTTAGGAATATTGCTCTCCTTTCCTAATTTCTTACAAAACTGTAGTCCAGATCTCTGGCAGAGGTCCTGAAGCTGAGTACCTTGGCAGAGATTTGCTATAGTCCAGAAATAGTTGCTAAATATAGCAAAGTTCATGTAAAACTAGTAACATTTAGCCACTTGTTCAGTTAATCAAATGGCATAGAGCATCCAAACTTCAGCAAATAATGATTTGGAGCAAGCTTCTGCACGCTGACTGCAAAGAGAGTAACTCTTTCACAAGACATTGCTTCACATGAGAGAAATTATTGAAGTACAAGGAGAATAAGAACTCTATTAACTGTACTGGGTTTATTTATTAAATAAACCCATGTTCCTTGGGTTTATTAGTTTTACTTTTCATTCTAGTAATATTTTCTGTATGATTTTGCTTTTTTTTTCTTTAACATATTTCCTAATTTCAAAGAAGTTTCTTTACCTTTTGTTTTTAATTTCTCTTTCTCTTTTTATTTCTTGTCTTTTTTTCCCCTCTATGTTGTTGTCTTCTTTATAGCTTTTCCTTTTTCTCTCATTATCATCCCTTCACCCTTAACCAGCCACAAGTGATAATTATTTTGGAGACAAAGCGTAGGAGTTATTTCCAAATAAAAATATTTTTAAAATAAGTTCTGTCTAAGCAAGGACTGCAAGATTCATCTCAACTCTTCCTGTCCCTTCTGTATGATTTCTTTGTATTGTCTAATCCTATTTGTATTCTCTTTTGTCTTCTTTATTTTCTCTTCATTCAATTCTACATCTTTATTCCTCCCTTTTTTTCCATTTCATTTTCCTCTTCTCAAATGCATCCCTCTGCTCATTTCTTTAACTTTTCCACCATATGTTCTCTTTGTGGAAATCACTGGTTTCCCCTTGTGCTCTGAGACTTGTGCCTCCATGACGTTCCTTTCTTCCTCCCAAATTCATTTTACTGTCATCTCTTACTGTGAAATTAAAATGGCTCCCATAAACAAATTATTATTCTTTTTTTTCCCCTGAGCTCCACTCTGTTTTCCATTATCAATGTTTTTTCCTGCCTTTCTTATCCAATTTACTTTCCACTGGACCTCCTCAGCCAGCTATTTCTCCTCCACTCTGACTGGGGAAATCATCCTCCTGTAATCCCTCTTGTGGCAGAACTCTGTGCAACAGAAATTTGGTTTCTCCTTAAGGGTGCACTGATTTCTCTGTAGCAGCTCTTTCCCCTAACTACTAAAATCACAGCATATTTTCACTCAACAACAAACTCACGCAGGATTTTCAGAAGAATTCAAAGGTGGTAGAAGTATTCCCTTCAGTAGGAAAAAACAGATTTCTATGCAGGAGAGTCTGTGAATTTAATTTCTTCCATACCGCTCATCTGTCTTCCCCATCCACCAGGATGGCTGGTGGAATTTTAGCTGTCTTCCTTTTTTGTTATATGCACCCATATCCTCTGAAATGGTCCAAGACAACCCTCTGACCTTTCTCCAGCACCTAGCAGTTTCACAGGCAGCCTCTGTTTTCTCAGGCAATAATGTAAACATGGAGTCTTGAAATCCATTACCATAGATCCCAAACACTCAATGGGTTTGGTATTCTCTGTTTACCTGTTGTCACTGGACAGCCTTCCCTGGGATATGCATTTAATTGAAAAAGAGCCAGCTTATTTACTGTCTTCAATAAACTACTCTTCCTAAAATGTGAAGTGCACTATATCAACTGTTTTGAAAGCTCAGAACTTGTTACAACAAAGTCCCTAATCTGTTTGAATATTTTTATGAATATGTATGTTTAGACCACACAGTCTAAGACTGTATTGATGACATTTTAATGCACTAGTGTAAATCAGAGAAATAATGGTGCCAATAGAATGATCTTCATAGCACTATTTTTATTTTAGGGAGGTGACAGAAGACAAAATCTGTGGATTTCAAAGGGCTTTGAATCACATCCAAAGTAGAAGTGGTTCCAATTTCACACAAATGCTATTTTCCCTTGAGTTCAAGATAAAACATTTCAGTGTTTCAGTCCATCTGTTAGTACTTTCCTGTTGCCGAAGATGCTATGAGAGAATGAAGCCTTTTTCTCAACAGATATTCCACTGTATACTATATTCTACTCCCATATTACTGAAGGGCATAACAGATTTTTTTTTCTCATCTCAAGGAGAGCTCAGCCTAATATTTCCCTCATCCAAGTGCCGCAAACAGGAACAGTCTTTCCATGATGCTCACTGTTGCAACAATGCCAGATCATTCTAGATCCAGCAGAACTTGGCAGAATTTCTCTATAATTTCTCTACAATTCATTTTCTCACTTCCCTTTTTATTCCCAACAGGAGTTGGGGAAGATTACAGGTGCCATAGTTTGTACTTTGGAAGTTCTCTGGCAACTGAATTATCCTTTGTTACATTCCTAACACCTTTAGTCAGAGACCTTAAATTAACAGAAGGAAAGAGGTGAGGAAAGTGACCATTTTAGTGTACTTTGCTCAGGGGAATTTTTGAGGTCAGTATAATTTATGATATTTAGTATAAAGACCTAAAGTCAGGTAAGTCTGCAACTCCATTCTGTGTCTCTGAAATTCAGAATTGGTATGCTAAATGGACGATCTGTTCTAAGCAGGAAAATTCCATTCTTCTAAAGGCAATTACTTTATAAACTTCAGTGGCCACTGTCAAAGCACTTACTCCTAAATCAAACAATATGCACCCTAGCTTTGTACTGAGTGCATGGGTGTGCAGGTGACCACAAGTACAGCAGTGAGAACAACAGAGATGATTCTGAGTGTGGAGTATCATTGAAACAAGGTTCAGCCTGTGTGCATGTTTATCTGTATGCATAGTTCATGTGGTCCCTGGTTGCATACACAAGAATTTTAAAAATATTATTGCCATTTGTGCTTCTTACACTCAAGTAACAGGGTAAATTTATATATCAGAAAACCCTTTTCCCTCTGTCTATTACTGGACAAAAGGATTTTTTCATAGGATATTTCCATCACTAGGAAATTTTACACAAGCTTATAAACCCCTGAAAATAAAAACTTTGCTGCTGTAATGCTGATAAGCCCTCTCTAGAGCCATACTAGCCGGAGCCATTCTCATATAAGGTTCAGAATGGTAATGTAGTCTAGCACTGTCCTTGGACAACTGCTTGCATTTACAGAAATTGAGGGGTTATTGTACTGCAAACTTTTCACCTCGGGGTCTGACGAATGAGGTGAAGAACAATAGAGATGTCTCACTGGGAGAATGGCTTCACTACATGCAGGATTGCACAACACTTTGAAATCTTCTACCATCCCAGTCCCATGCTGTCTCTGACTTGGCAAACACTTTCATTTAGTCAGGGATCAGTAGCTTAGGAGGGGGTGGGGGGTGGAAGTTCCATTCTCCAGCTGTTGTGTCATTTCCCTTGATAAGTCCTAAATTGACCGAGTTATCCAGCTCCAAAGGAGCTTTTCTGTGGTAGACATGCTTTATTATGTGCCCTTTCAGGGACAAAGGCTTCTGTGTCAGTAAACTGCTATAGAGAGGAAGGACAGATTTATTCTCACAGCATCATAAGCATTATCTTCTGAGAGGCTAATGTAAAAATAAAAAACTGTGCAGCATTACCATCCAAAACCAGTGTTGCTGCTCCTTGATAATCGACCTGATGGGAGGCAGAAAAGGAAGCTTGAAAGGCTGCTTCTCAGAACGGCAAATTTTAAAAGACGATTATTAAATTAGGGAGGTTTTAAAGGCAGAATTTTTTTTAGGCTTGTTCATTTGTTGGGTTATTTTGGACATTCATGTGTCAGTTGAGGTTGGGTATTGTGTAAAAGGGAAGAAATAGTTGTGAATCTCCTTATTTGGCATTAACTTTAGGTAAAGTACAAAGACTTGATTTCAAGTTAAAAATCCAAGCAGCTCATACATATATAGCCCTCCCCACAGACGGGATAAATTTATTAACACCAACCATCACGCTATGTGATAAAAAGGGAAAACAAGGAACATGACTCCTCAATCCAGAGAACACCTTGCAAGGCATAAATGGTAGCAAGGAGCCCAGGCACACCCTCCCTCAAAGGTGAGCTGGCCTTTGCCAGGAGTTCAGCAAAGGCATATCTTTGGAAATCTTCCACCTGCAGACAACTACAGCCCAGTCAGCATCTTAGCAATCTGAACACACCTGACAAGGCAAGTCTGTTTCTGTTTGGGAAAGAAGAGAAAGGGGTCAGTACTAAAAAATTGAACTTGAAAGTTTTGGCGATGAAAATGGCTGTAAGTCTGTTCCACTGGTATGTGATGCAAAGAACTGACTCGATTAAAAAATATCTCAACAGATCCTCAGACAGCCACTGGAGAAGTGGATGGGGTAAATCTGGAAGAAATACGAGAATTTGCCAAAGCTTTTAAAATCCGGCGCCTGTCCCTTGGCCTGACACAGACTCAAGTTGGCCAAGCCCTGAGCGCCACTGAAGGCCCAGCCTATAGCCAATCTGCCATCTGCAGGTAACAAGTTACATCATAAACTTCTTTCTTTGTCCTTAATAATGATCCTGCTTGTGAGGAGCATGTTGTGTTTGAGTCTCATAACTTTAGAGTGTATTATTTAACCTGATATTTAAATGTTGTTATCTGACACATAAATTGTTCTTATTGTGTACCTTTAGTGTGATTTTGGTCTCTTTTTTATTCCTCGTTTTCTAAACAAGTGAGAAACAATGTTCCTGGCATAGAGACTTAATTCCATAGATGAGTTGGAGATCCTGCTGATGCTCGATAAGCACCAGCTGACCCTCTTCATACTGTGCCATTTTCTACAGATAGGGTTACTGAACAAATATTTCATGGCTGCATCCCTGCTAAGTTAAACCTGTATTACTGTGGTTAGCACTTCACATAGGGGATGTTAATGATGATTTACCTAGGCAACACAGAAGGGGAAAAAATAGCTTTCCTGCTATCTTGCAAACCAGCAGCTATTCATCTTTTGTCACCCAAATATTTACTGAAAAAAACAGACAAACCTATGTATGCAAAGCAGAAGCAGAAATCTGTCCTAATCATAAGAAATAATAATATGGTCTTGACAGAGTTAAAGTAGAAGTAAACACCTTTATGCATGTATGTGTATTACAGCAATCCTATGTTTATGCATGAGGTAACAAACGCACTTAGGTAACAGCTTTTTCCTCTTGGGCAATGCCTTATAGTCCTCCATCAATGAAAGCCAATAAACCTACTCTAAGCTCATTTAAGTGGATTTTGTTCTTGGTGATCCATGAAATGCTCTGTCTTTTTATCTGCTCTTTATACTTTTAATGTATTCCCCATAGAATGGAAGTGTACTTTTCCTGCAGTTAAAGACTAAGGTTATAAATAACATCAGTATGGGGTAGTGTGCTTGCAGCTCACATTTTGCTCAATGATTTTCCATAAAACCCATTGATTGTTGTTAAATACAAAAAGCTCCATAGGATCCTCTCACTTCTATGGTCTCCCCTACTGTTTTTTCTTATAAGATACCTCCCTGTTGAAAATAACCTTTATTCAGTCTATACAAGGATACTACTGCTGGGAAATTTGTTTCAAGACTTGTATGTCATTATAACAAACATGTCCTGCAGTAACAGCACTAACAAACAATGGCAATGATATGAATGCTATTGCTCCTTATTGCTAAGGATTAATTTTGATTTTGTATTATTTTTTTAAATTTCTTTGTGGTCAGTTGGTAAATAGTGCCTAAAATTGGTGGAGTTTTTAGCAACTGGAAATGTTTTGTAGCCTTAAGTTGCTGTTTGTCTTGGTATACTTTAAAGGAAGACATTGCTGTTTCCTTTACTTTTGCCTAGTTCACTCTCTTCTCATTTTCTCAATTTACCTCACACTTTGAGGAAAGCACTGGGGATGGTGAGACCTTTTACAGAGGGTTCCTTGGAGGAGGAAGTTGCTCAGAAAATAAGATTGGGTGCAAGAGCTTGTCCCAAATACTTGCAAGATTACAAGTTTTTTTAATTTCCTTTGCCCGCCTCAGATGGACACCATTTTGGGATGTAATTACGTGCTGTGTCTGTGCATTTTTCACTAAGCTGCTTCAGTCGCACCATGTGTTCCTCAGAAATGGTAGATTTAACTTTTTTTTCAATTGTAACAAAGGAGTTTCAGTATGAACTCCAGGTCAGTGGAAGGGGCAGTAAGGCAAGCAGTTTGAACAACCAGCTCAAAAAGAAAAGTAGAATCTCCTGGTGGCCTATGCAGGTCATATGAGCAATATACCATCTTGATATGTTCTGCATGCAAATAGCAGCATTTTCTTTAATTTAATACAATACATTCTAAAATATATCCTTCAGCTTGAAATATCACTGGACACCAAGGAATGACATCTTGCAATCAATACCACATTAAGATGTCAGGCACTAGTTACAATGTCTTTGGAGTATCATTATCTGAAATTATTCTTTGTCTTATTCTTTGTGAGAAGTGCTTTGTTTCATGCTGGAATATTTTTTGCTGCCTCCACGTGCTGAATGGAGACACTAAAAATGTCCAGCTCCAGCCACCAAGTTTCTTGGCATAAATGGATTGATTTAGTTCCTCTCATCTCCAGAGCACTCTGTGGTTAGTGGTGGTGGTGCTTCAGCACCACCTGGGCTGGAGAGCGCAGCAGAGACATCCAGTTATTGTTGCCTTTCTGCAGCACCCTCAATGTGCAGAGTGGTCAGAGCAAAGTGGGAAAATACAAATAGATGGCACCAAAGAACTTGGGTTAAGACTTTTTTAATAGCAAAAGAGGATAAACTCAGTAAATGAAAGAAACAAATACTTATAGGACTTGAAATGTGAACTCTGCTCTTTGCTTGCTTTTGAAAGAATTAAAGCTTTGTGTGGCTGCTTTTCCAGATGTTTTATAATACTTGTAAAATCTGGTTTGGCAAAAGACTTTTGATGGCAAAATGATATATAGAAGACCTCATTTACAGGAAATGATATCATTCTGGTACACTTTGCAGAAATCCCACAATAAACTCAGCTTGGTGCCACAGCGTATTAGTGGACCGTTATGCTGGGTTTCATCTGGAAAACATGAGTCTGTCTTTGCACATTGTGGGGACAGCAAGATAATTGCAAAGTGTCCAGCTGTTTCAGCTGAACACCACCGTGGCTAGGGGAATTTTTTTCCCAATCCAGAAAAGGGATATAACATTAACTTACAAACAGTGAAAATTGCTGAAAAATGGAAAGGAAACCTGATATTCAGAGACAAGTATTTGCCATTGGTTTTTATTATTAAAGCTGTGATGTTTAGATAACATGGGATGGGAGAGATAACAAAAGGATTAAGCACAAAGAAAAGATGATAAAAGCAATGCTTTTGATATCATTTCCTGTAATTAGACTTAGTCTCCAGGGTTTTGAAGGTCATCAGAAATATGAAAATGTGATTCTTAACCTGTATTATTTAGTGTACTTAGAATTTTGTTGTAGTGCTCATTTTGTGTTAGCTTAAATCTCTAGCTATATATACATATCTATATCTATGTATAGATATACCTATCTGACAATTTTCATAATCTACTGTAAATTACCTCTGCCAGTCAATTAGTCAGGCAGGCAGGAAGTCCCACCTGGCAGAGCATCAGTGTAAGACTCTTCTTTCTCAATTTTCCCTCAGACACACCATCCTGAGAAGCCACTTTTTCCTACCACAGGAAGCCCAAGAGAACACTATAGCTAGCAGTCTGACAGCCAAACTGAACCCTGGCCTTTTGTATCCTGCCAGGTTTGAAAAGCTGGACATCACCCCTAAAAGTGCCCAGAAGATAAAGCCGGTGCTTGAGCGGTGGATGGCTGAGGCTGAGGCCCGCCATCGAGCAGGGATGCAGAACCTTACCGAGTTTATTGGGAGTGAACCATCCAAAAAGCGCAAGAGGCGTACCTCATTCACGCCACAAGCCCTTGAAATCTTGAATGCCCACTTTGAGAAGAACACGCATCCCTCTGGGCAAGAAATGACAGAGATTGCAGAGAAACTGAACTATGACCGGGAAGTAGTTAGAGTTTGGTTCTGCAATAAGAGGCAAGCACTGAAGAACACAATTAAACGTTTGAAACAACATGAGCCTGCAACAGCAGTTCCTATGGAGCCTTTAACAGACTCTCTGGAAGAAAACTCCTAAAAACAAAACAAAAAAAGCCAAATCACAAAGAAAAAAAAACCCACACCAACTGAAATGTGTCCATTTGAACTCTGTGAAAATACCTATTCATCACCCTTGTAAGTAAAAGACTGAGAAAACTACAAGAAGGACAGAACAGTTTATAAATGTCCATGGGTTTTCCTATTTAAAAAAAAAAAAAAAAAAAAAAAAACCAAAAAAACCTTAAACAAAAAAAATTACACAACACTTAAGAGTGTGTGTGGTAGAATTAGTTCCCAAAAAAACCTGAAAAAGCCAGTTTTTTTTAAATGGACTTAAAGTAAACCAAATAACTGCTAAATTTTTTCTGTATATTATGGAAATATTAATACATTTTAAGGAAAAATAAAACAAACAGCAACAAAAAAAAAAAAAGAAAAAAGAAAGGAAGAAAAAAAGAAAAAAAGAAAAAAAAAACTTTTATGTTTAAAAGAGAATACAAGCCTGCCACCTGGAGGAGTGATTGTAGCCTTTCAGGTATCAAGTGCTGATTCACTATGAAATCTATTAACCAAAGTCAGAAACATGGCATTGCAAACTAGATTGTTAGTCTACTCTTTCATGAGTGTAAAATTGTGTTAACCAATTTTTACATTTGTATTTTGCAAAGAGTAATACAGGATTAATTTCTCTCATCCTTGTTTGTACCCCCTGCAGGTGTGTACAAAGCCATTCCGTAGTAGTCACCTCACTTTCTTTTCTTTTATTCAAAAATTTTGAAACCTCCTAATGTTTGTGTGCCAAAAATAAGTACTTTTTATTGTGATTTGTGGGGTTTGGTATTTCTCTTCTAAGGGTGTATGTCTTGGTTTGCATTTCTTTTTCTGGTTTTTTTTTTCCTGGTTCTATTTGCTGCCTCCTCCCTTCCATCTCATTCCCCACCCTTTCCCCAAGCCCCTCAAACCCAGTACTGTTTGAAGAATTTTTTTAAAAAGTGAAATCTGAACAGTTTTATATGCTGGAATGCAATGAGGACAAAGAAGGATTAGGATTGTATCTGATGGACTTTCAAGCCCACACTGAACATTGTGCTTTTTGTCAAATGTGTAGCTTGAGATTTCTCTGTCCTTTGGCTGTGAACCTGGAGAGGTTACCAAAACTCATTTTGTAGTATAACTATAAACTGCACACTTGGTACAGCACTGCATCTATCTTATGGTTCCATTTGAAGCAATTTCTCTCCAAAGCCTGCTAGACAAAGAAATTTCTTGAGGTTCTGATGAAAACAAATGGACAGGCTGAGAAGTGATGAGGAAGTTTTGATCATTACATCACTATGGACAATTTTGATGGTAGTGTTTTGTTCCTTCTGGCTTTTGCTAATGCCATATTGAATGCTTGCCCTGTTGACTTCTTTAGTAGGAGGATGTGTTTCTGCAGGTGTTTGCGGTGGCCACTGGCTAGACAAAGCAATTGGGACATAGAGAAAAATACTGAATGTCTCTTGATAATATAAGGTAGGTCACCTGCAATATGATTCAGGTGAACTGATTTTTCTTTAAAGACAGTTTATCTCTGTGGCTTCTTTTCTGATTGGACAAGCATCTACTAAAATACTGTGGACCTACAAGCATAGCAAGGCTCAGAGGCGGAGAAAGGTGTGGCAGGTTCTTGATGGGGTGTGGTCTGACCACATCAAGACCATCAAGATGATCCTGTGAAGGTCATCTGCAATCTTCATCTTCTGCTCAGTTATGCTCAAGCCTTTGGGATTCAGTTCACCATTAGGGTAGAAGCTGCATCTTTATCAGGTCTTCCCAAAAGATAACATCAGATAATTGGTTCAGCTCACTGTAGAGATGGTAAAATTCTGCTGGTATAACTCCTGATTGCATTCCTTGACCTCAAAATGTTTGTGCTGGATTTTTGGTGGTCTGCCTAGGACGTGGAAGGAAGTTCCTGAAGTGCTGGAGTCTTCAAATAACACCTCTCTTACTAAAGAGTTTTCAAAAACTCCAGGCTATATCCAAAATTTAGTGAAAGAAAAAGACTTTCATTGATTTCCCTGTGCTTTGAATCTGGCCCTCAGTATTTTATTAATGGAATTTGCCTTGTAAAGTGGGGTATTTATTGCATGGTTGGTGGAGCTTTAACATTTCAGAGACCATCATCTGGGCCAGAAGCTGCTTCTAAATGGGAGCACTCTCAAAGGTCAGTGTGTTGGAGCACACTGAGGATCCAGTACTCCAGGATGAGCTCATGTCCAGCAAATGGATTTTAGACTTTATGCTTCAGCAGGGTATGTTTAGGATATTTTCGGTCTTGCTTTTATGAGGAGGAGAGTGACGATTGTTATTGACTCTTTTCAACTGTTGATATATAAATGATGGTTGGGGAAAAAAACACCTCAGTAACCACTGGCAAATTGTGAGGGACAAAATAGATGCTTTATCCAAGCTGAGCGTGTAAATTGAAGAGTCTCACAGCAACACACACAGCAACATCTGCGCCTCTGGGTTTTCTTTATACCCTCTCTCTCCACAGACAGCTAGATCCTCATAAATATCTATGTAGTCTATACCAAACAGCCCTAAAGTTGTCACCACAGTTCAATAAATCATATTTGGAAGCAGTTACTCCTGAAATCCTACCCATGTCTCCAGAACACTCCTAATTGCCCAGTCATTAATGTCACATACACAATTACCTGTTCAGTCATCCTTAAGACCATACCCTCCTCCACTCCATCCCCACCATCAACAGCCTGGGAACAAAACCATCAACAATTCATTGCCTCAAAACTAAATTTCCAATTCTCCCAGGGACTGCTCTAAATTCTGTGAAGAAAAATCCCCCAAGAAAAACAAGTTAACTAAACACTATATGAAAGATACTAAATGTTTAAAAATATGCTGGCAGCAGTTATATAAGCTCTTTTCTGTTCCAAAGTACATATTGGAAGGATATAACTAGGACAGTGAAAATGTAAAATAAATATAAATTGCCAGCATGGAAGAAAAAATAATGTTCATCCCACAGTCTTAAAATCATTCATGTGCAGTACTTTTTTTTTACAGTTTTCTAATTTTGTATTATGTTTTGTAAATTATTTATAAAGTGTTGTAATGCTTCTCATATTAATTTTTTTATACACAAATTTTGCTATGAGGCATAAATGGTGCCTGATCAGATTCTTAGGAAGATAAATTATATGTGAGTCACACATCTTTGGGAGGGCCATAAATATTTTGTTTTATTATGTTACTGGCAACATTTCTGGTTCCCATTTGTAGACAATTTTCTTGAACTGATAACATTTGAATACCTTTCAATTTTGCATGTGACTAAAAGATAGGCTGCTACCAGCAAATGAAACAAAAGTCTCTTTGGTCATATGTGAAGGTTTAATGGTTTTCCACTTTGTTGATAATTATATATATATATATATATATAAAATATATTATTTGAATAATGAACCAAGGGTTCACTTACTCTTCTAATTTTGTCTTTTTATGTTTTTCACTAAAAAGCTATTTTGGACAGTTGAAGAAATCAAATGCATTCAAATGGTTCCAATTTCTTTACAATATTACTGAAAAAAATTTTTAAAAAGCCAAAAAAGAAAAAAAATATAAAAAAGAGAGAGAACAAGGAAGCAAAAAGGAGCTAGGAAGGAACAAGTAGAGGCGTATCAAAGAACTCAAGCTATAACCAAAAAGAAATATGTAAAATGCCTTTGCTCGTCTTCTCAATGCTGGACCAAAGCTCAATGTATGTAGGTATATGCACATTGTATAGATATGGCTAAATGTTGCTGACAATCTTGCAATACTAAACTGTTACTATTTTAAAAAAAATACAAAAATAAAACTGTTAATCAGTGTTTTACCTCAGCACTCTACTTGTACCCAGTTATTGACCAACATTCAAATAAGAAGATAAGAGAGGAAATTGATTTCCATGTCAATGTTTGACTGTAAAATCTGTTTGGAAAACATTTTGTAATGAGCTTTTTGTCATGTGGTTTGCTTGTTTCCAACTTGAGACTATGTGGGGCACATTTGTTTATTAATTGTTAAAAAGTGATATTATTACTATTATTATTATTAATTATTATTATTACTTTTTTTTTTTGTCCTATGTGCTATAATCTACAGAATGGTCACCAGGGTCACTTACGAAGCACTGCAAAGAGATGTTTTTTCCATGCATGGAGCATGCAGGGGGAAAGATGGCAGTACAAAATGGACTGTATTGTGTTGTTTAAAAATATGAATAAATAAAAAAGGAGTGGATATGGTGGACTTGTGACCAAGAAAACAAACTGGATATTTAAAAGCTCCTTACTACTCTGACTTTGAAACCAAAGCTGATTTATCTGCACAGGTTGCTTAACATGAAAAAAATAAAAAAAAACTGACAAAAACTGTACTTAATCTAGAGCAATATCTGTATGGTCAGTAAAGCTGCACTTTGTGTATTTCTTAACAGCTTCAGATCTGTCACTTTTAATTTGTACCATAAAAAATAAAGAATTGTTTGACATGAAAAATAAGCTCCTTTCATGTGTTTGTCTTAAATCTCATGCATTATTCACATTATCCAGGCTCATGTAATTTCAAATCAGTTCAATACAAAAATAGTTAGATGCTTGAAAAAAGGAAGAGAGAAAATCCATTTGCACTGTGGAGCATAACTTTATCTGCAAAACTAAACACTGTTTCTGTACCCAGAGTGGGTGCATGCATTGGCCATGTCTTATTTTCTCTACAGGTATTGCAGAGTAGAGGCTCTCCCTCAGGAGTACTCTGGAACCCCCAGGTGAGTATGTGTTATCCCCCAGGCCAAAGGAAGTAAAGTACAGATGGACACCAAGGCCAGTGTACCCCCCATGCTTCCATCCACACTCCCATAACAAAGGTCTGGTAAGTGATGGGAGTGTCTTAGAGAGGCTGGGTCAGCATTTAGTGACTTCTCTTGCATTTTTGCAGAGCACATACGGTTCATTATTCAATTCTTTCTGTAATTATGATATTAGG